AGATAATATACATGTTTCGATGCTGTTCTCTTGAAACATCCCGCCCTCGCCTTCTCCCACAGAGTCCATAAGTCTGCATGAGACAAGTGCTCGGGCCTGGTGCACTGGGAAGACCCAGAGGGATCGGGTGGAGAGGGAGGTGGGAGGGGGGACCGGGATGGGGAATACGTGTAAATCCATGGCTGATTCATGTCAATGTATGACAAAAACCACTACAATATTGTAAAGTAATTAGCCTCCAACTAATAAAAACAAATGGAAAAAAAAAAGAAAAAAAAAGCAGAGACATTACTTTACCCACAAAGTTTTGTCTAGTCAAAACTATGGGTTTTTTTTTTTAGTAGTCATGTAGGGATGTGAGAGTTACCATAAAGAAAGTTGAGCACTGAAGCATCGATGCTTTTGAACTGTGGTGTTGGAGAAGACCCTTGAGAGTTCCTTGGATTGAAAGGAGATCAAACCAGTCAATTCTAAAAGAAATCAATTCTGAATATACATTGGAAGGACTGATGCTGAAGCTGAAACTCCAATACTCTGGCCACGTGATACAAAGAACTGACTCATTGGAAAAGACCCTGATGCTGGGGAATATTGAAGGCAGGAGGAGGATGACAGAGGATGAGATGTCAGATGGTGTCACCATCTTGAAGAACATGAGTTTGAGCAAGCTCCGGGAGTTGGTAATGGACTGGGAAGCCTTGGGTGCTGCAGTCCATGGGGTCACAAAGAGTCAGACATGACTGAGCAACTGAACTGACTGACTTTCTTTACAGACAGAAGGAAGAATAGAGAAATTGACAAGAATGTCACCAAGTGGTTCTTGATTATTTGGCTAATGTTTTTACTGGGACTTAAAATTTGGAGAGTCCACAATAGGACCACAGCTTGATAGCTATTTTATTTGCTTAGAAGAATGTGGGACTACCATTAATCCTTTAAGGAGATACTCAGATGAACAGGAGTAAAAAGACAGAAGCATGACTAGTTACAAGCTGGAGATTATTCATGGCTTAAGAATACTTTTAAGTTGTAAGAATCTGGATCATAAACCCAGCCAGGACCAAATAAAACCTGATACAACTTATCCATTGCTAAGACCCAAATCACTCTGGGGACAGTCTGCCCTTAGGAAGCCACCTTGGCTCTCTGAGAGGTTTAGAATGGATTTGGTTTTGGAGTCATGTAATCATGTGGTTTCCTCGGTCATAGAAAAAAACCTATTAAACTGCAATGTCTTGCACTAGGATCCGTGCATAGGGAACATTTTAGAGATCTCTAAATGATCCCATTGTGTAGGCAAATTTGGGGGTAGGAATGTAAACTCTTCTCATACTCCTCCATCTTCGCATCCTCCATCCTCACTAGTTGAGTTGCCACCCTCATCCTATTCTCATCTTTCCACTTAGGCTAGATCACTTCTTTCCACCCTTTAACCCACCCTACCAGTGTCCCCACCTTTTAGTCTGTCCCTAGTCTACACTTTTCACTTTATCAGGTCATTTCCTTGGTCAAAAATGTCTAACTTACCCTACCCTTACCTCTGGTGTTTTGTAATCAACATACAGGTATCACCTGGGAGCTTATACCAAGGTCTAATTTCAGGTCCTGTCCAGGTCTACTGAATTAGAACTTACATAATATTTTAATAAGATCCTCTGGGGACTTGTATAAGCATTTACATTTGATAAATATTGCTTTAAAACATTATTTTCCAAAGTACGTTTTGAAGGACATTCTCAAGGACAGAGAATCTACTACCTGGATTCAAAGACACACTTTCCTCTCTCTTTACAGCACAGCTGTCCATTCAAAAAATATTTATTCAGTGATAACTATACCCTACACTATGCCAGGTTTAAAGGATCTAGTGGTGAAGACGACAGAAGTGTTCCCTGCACTTGCGGACTTACAGTCTAGGAAGGCAACATTCGCATGAAGGATAAGTATGGTAGTATCATAAAGGGGATATGCAGGATGCTGTGGGATGATCTAGTTAATGTGGATGGGGAGATGGATGGGGAGGGTCTAATGAAGTCAGGAAGATGAACATAACCTTCCTCAAAAAAGGCTGCTACAGCAGTTCCGTGCTGATACAGAGTTTGGAGGACCAAGGAGAGGCAGCTGAACACAGCTCCAGCATCCCACAAGGCTTGGAACAATGATAGAAATACTTGCCCCATGCCTACCTCCATTCAAGGCAGTGTAGGCTCTAACTATTTTCCTTTTCGGTAGGTACAGTTATAAACCCTGTTCTACAGGTAAGGAAACTGAGACACAGAGAGATTAAGGAATGCATCCACTGTCACGGAGCAAAACTTGGAACTCCCTCTGGCCATCTGCCTCCAGCACTTCTGTTCTTAGCTCTCATACTCCACCATGCTTGATCTGGGAAGAACATGGTGCATTCAGGAAGCTGAAAAACAGGCTGTGTGCCTAGAGTTCAAGTAGCATTTGTTCACAGATATATGATCCTTTTTTTATCTTAAGGGTGAAACTATAATGCATCACCATTCAGCTGTGACTTCTTACAGCACAAATTTTTAGAAACATTCCATACTTACTGAATCAGAATTTCTAGCCATGGAGCTGAAAACCTGCATTTTCATAATGCTTCCAGGTGATTCAGAGTCAATACAATTTGAAAACCATAGAATTAGCAGTACCAGTTCCTCCAATATCCTCCCTATCATAGTCTCCTCTAATTAACCCACAGTTATTTAATAATATATTGGTCCCAAAGTATGAACTAAACATCAGGGTAAATAGGATTGAAGCTGAAAGAAATCTGAAAATTGAATCTGTGCTTCTCCAGGTCCCCTGACTGTCTGGCTGTGAAAAGAATTATCTAGACTTGAAAAATTGGAGGCTAAAAAGAGACCACAGAGGCTTAGAACTATTTTCATTATAATGCCAACCATTTAAATAACTAATTGAATCTCTGGAAGTTGGAGTAAAATCTGAAATTGCTGGAAGAGCAATTATTTCAAATGGCTTATGACTCCTCCATCCTTACACAGTGCTAGGAGAAGATGCTCATGAAGCAGAGAGAATTTTCTCAAAAGTACTAATAGAATGCATGCAATAGCAGTAGCTAAAGTAATCTCTGGCCACCGGGGCACACAGACTCAACAAAACTAATATGCCTCCTTAAGTGTCAAGGGATCTTGATAGCTCTAACACCAATATCTGGCTGCCAGTAGGATATTATTTTTAATTCAACCTTTTCCTTTCTTAAAGCCATTTAACAGAGGAATTATGCTAATCTCTTATGAGACAGAAACTAAAAGAAACAGCTGCATTTCAATAAACCTCCATCTTCATATATTATTTTATCTTCCTGCATTTCTTCAAGACTTATCTTTAAAAGCTTGAATGTTATTCAGGTACATTACTATTAAAATTTCAAAATCCATCCTCCTAGATGTTGCCTTTCAAATGGTTTAGAATAGAGATCACAGTTTTTCTGTCCCATTCTGTTTGGAAATAACATTCCCCTGGCTACTCCACAAATCCTGTTCATCCAGCTCAATTACTTTGAATTTTTATTTAGGAAAACAAGTTTTGGAGAGTTCCTAAAAGAAATTGCTGTCTCCACCCATCAAAAGATCAGATAAATATCTGTATTTTCCAAGCTCTTCTATATTCAATACGTTTAGTTCTGATTCTACCCATAAGCAACATTTACTGGATGCTACTCTGTTAACACTGTGACAGAAGATCATTAAAAAGATGAAATGAAACAGTCAGAAAAACTTGATGTGGGTACCTCACCAGTGCAATATAAGGCATTGATGATGATAACCTTCAAGAGCTGTCACTGCCCCTCTGCCAATCACTGAGAGGTGGTTTGAAGTAGTAGACAGATCTGTGTCAGGGTATGCTCTAACATCATGTCACTGCCGTGAAGATGTGTAAGTCAAAGAACAGCCGGGGGATCCTAGATGCACAAGGCTGGACTTCTGGGGAAGCATATTAATAAGCCCAGTATTTGTGGCAGGTTCTGTCCGTGCAGAACGGCATGCTTTCCTTTCGCTTCTTCCAGGAGGCCAATGCAGAGACACAGGAAGAGCCAGGCCCTGAATGAGAGGATGTTATTTCCAAGACAAGGCCAGCTGGGTGTGGATGGGACCCACTTTGCTTTGAGCACTAGGGCTAATGCTCTTCCATCCTTCCTTCTCTTGAGTGTGCTTTTTCTTACTCTGGCAATAGTGAGATCCATAGGACCCAAGATAAAAGTATGAGACTATGGAAAGGGGACCAAGTTATTAATTCCAGGTCTTAGGTCAAAACAGGGCCTCAGAACGAGGAGTTCTTGGATCTCCACAGTGACTAGCTCATCAGGGAACTGAAATAGGTGCGGGGGAGAAGACCCATTCTAAGAAAGGCAGTCATTTTACAAAAGTGCTCCTCTGTGTTTGTTAGGACTTAGCTATTAAATATCCTGGATCATAGCATTCCAAATATATCCAAGTGTATAAAGCATCACCATTAAGAGTAAAGAAATACAAATCATATAGTTCTGACTTCTGCACCTGTTCAATAATTTTTAATGTATCGGCCCCTCTCCTTTCACAGGCTTATATTTATCAGTGATGTATGCATGGTGTTTAAGGCCCTGCATTCTAATGAAGATGCCTGGAGTCAGGCTTAAGCACACAGGATCCACAAATAAATTGTGATGGTATTCATGCTTTATAAGAAACCACATTTAAATGGCTGTTAAAAATACTGCAACAGTGTTAACAAAAGACAAGAACTCCTATACCACACACCTGTAAAATCATGGCATAGAACAACCAAATATATTTTCCTTGCCAAATCATAATTTGTTCTAGAAATCTAAGACTTCACTTACAAATTTTACAAACTTCATTCCCTGGGTTATATGCAAAAGGAAAAGAAGGGAGCCCTTGCTCCCCCACCTCTCACGGACTCAGTAGTGAAGGAGGCAGTCTAGTGGTCAGGAAGCAGGGAGCACTAAGGAAAGAGCATCCACCTACCTGGAGGGCACAGCCTTGGGCAGGGAGTCCACTCGCTGAAAGCGGTCACAAGGCAGTCTTTTTTGCACGGGAGCAGACAAGCACGTACAGTTTCTGGCCGAGTAGATTCCGGGCATCTGCCAATGTGAAAGACTCGATCAATGTCTACCAGAAAAAGTAAGCGGTTGGACATAGAACCATATAGGATCTCAGAACTAAAACCACGGAGACCCTGTTGCTCCTTTTACAGACATGAGGAGAAAGATCCAGGAGAAGTTACTTGCCCACGGACTCAGAGCAGGAGGCAGAGCATAAAACAAACTTCATGTCTCTTGACCTAGAGACTAAAGCCTCAGAAAGGGAGGGGGGTAAGGACATACACTTGGTGGTTGGTTGCCATAACGCCATATCTACAATGGAGGTAGAAAAGAAAGTAATAAGGACTTTTTAGATGGTGCTAGTGGTAAAGAGGACATCTGTCAATGCAGGAGACATAATAGATGCGGGTTTGATCCCTTGGTCGGAAAGATTCCCTGGAGAAGGGCATGGCATCCCACTCCAGAATTCTTGGCCTGGAGAATTCCACGGACAAAGTTCATGGGATTGCGAAGAGATGGGCATGACTGAGCGATTTAGCACAAGAAAGCAATAAAGTGGTTGCCGGGGCAGAACAGGAGGCAGGAAGGGGATGGAGGAGAGCAGGGTTGAGTGCAAGGCCATTCATCATCGTATATTATTTGCCTCCTTGTATTTTGTTATAATTTATGAACCATGTGAACACTTACCCAGTCAAAATAAAGACAGAGAAAGGAAGAAATGAAACACAAAAATCATTAAAAAGGGGTTGTGTTTGGGATGTGGGATGCTAAGTGTAGGAAGGTATCGCCAATTTTCACCATCAGTCCCTTTGCATTATTTTATCATACTTGTATAATAATATATAGAAGCATATAATACTTGAAAACAAAATGGGAATGTATATACCCACAGAAAAGGAATTGTTCAACAAAGTAATTATTAGTGGCCTTGTTATTAATCATCCTTAATATACACACACAAAAACTGTCTATCAAATAGGTCAGTTCAATGAACATAACAATAGAAAGAAAAACCAGTGTCTTTAGAGCATAGAGCATTATTTAAACAAGCTATTCTGGTAGGGAAAACTGATGTCATGCTTTAGTAGAACTAGCAAAAAGTACTAAACTCATTCCCAGGTTCCTTATTCATCCCTTGAAAGCTACTAAAATTAAATTGGACTGCTATTTATTCCATCTCCCCTCTAATCTCTCCTGGTATCTGTCTGGAAACGGAAGTGCAACTTGAAACATGTCAGTTTCCTGTGTTCCCAGCGGGGCAGCAGGGCTTGAGGGTACAGAGAACCCAGCCAGGACATGCTCAGACATCACAAATAGCTCAGAAATGCCTGTGGTGGGGCTTGGCTTCAGGCTTTCTGGAGAGGGTGGTTTATTCCACAGAGCCTTTGTTCATTTCAATTAGAAGTAGGTGTTAATCTCTTTTTCAACTTTTAAACATACCTTTATTGAGGTATATTGTTAGGTTGTTGTGTGTGTGTGTGTGCTCACTCATGTCCAATTCTGTGCAACCCCATGGACATGGCCTGCTAGGCTCCTCTGTTCATGGGATTTCCCAGGCAGGAATACTGGAGTGGGCTGCCACTTCCTTCTCCAGGGGATCTTCCCAACCCAGGGGCTGAACTGGCATCTCTTACGTCTCCTGCACTGGCAGGCAGATTCTTTACCTCTGTGTATACCTGATATGGAAAGGACTGCACGCATTTAACTTGATGAGTTTGATGATGGACCTACCCCACACCTCCCAAAGTGTCCTGTGTCCCTTGTTTTGGCTTTTATTTTCGTGTAAGTAGGGTGTTAATCTCTTTTGGGGAACTGATATAGCCTACTTCTAAATTTATGATGTACTAGCATCACGCACAATAAATACTCAGTGGACATAATATCAGTTCTTCGTAACATGGTCCCCTTTATCAGTATTCTTTGTCCAAGTCCATAAGAAAGAAACACTATCATCCCCTCAGGGACAAAGGTCAAACTCAGGTTATCTTGCTTTTATAGAGGTCATGAACTAAGGGCTTTCCTGAAGTGTGATTTCTGGTCTGATAAGAGCCAAATATTCTCTTGCTACTGAAACCTTCTGTTCATTTCTTCTGCCAATAAGGTTTATTTAGAAAACATCAATTTCCTTAAAGGTTCATTTACTTCTTCCTTTCTATTTACGTGATGTTTACCCCCCCCAGGATCACGTTTTCAATTTTCATAAATTTTCTCTGAATCATCAAGAATACTCTCCTTGACCATTAGCAACTTATGTGCCTTCCACTCCTAAGAAACATAATGTTTATTTTATTTATCATTTACTGACACTGACTAAAAGAAGGTTTTTGATATCTGTTGCACTGCTGGTTTTCTGTGTGTGTGTGTGTGTGTGTGTGTGTGTACGCACATGCATGTAGGCATGTGTTATATAGATACTAATTTTTAATGCCTTCATGGTAGAATTTCACCTCATATCATTTCTTAAAAAATGCCAGATCTTAATGTTGTGTAAATATTTAGTAATACTAACTGAATGATTGAAAAGCATTCTATGCTATTGGAGCCTGAAGACAAATCCCTGGGGAAATAAGGCAAATTTATCCAGTCATTTCCAAAACAAAATTGAAACCTTAAAAACTAGGGTAACATATGGATTCACATTTTAGCTAGTAAACACAGTATGGCTTCTTGCCTTTTGTCATAATTTATACTTTTTACTGTTATATAACACTCTGATCCTAGATTGGCAATACTATTGCTAAAAGGGTGAATGCATTTCATTTCAACACATATATTTTTCCTGAACTTGCACTCAAGTATTCCACAATTGCCTCCTGGTTGCCCTGGAGGCCTTCATTCCTGTGCCGAAATGCATCAAATTTATCTACAGGGGTCTGCCATTTCTCAGTTCTGTGCTCATAATCATGAGGTAGACATAGTCATTCAACCCAGGGACTGAGGGGCCATCCCAACCTTCCAACTTTGTAAAGATTCAATGTGTTAATGGAGCTCCCCATTACTGTATCTCACCAAATGCCCAGGGTTTTCTCATGAAAGGCAGAAAGTGCCTTACATGACCTTTGGAAGGTTCTGAGTTGTGTGATTTTAATCTTTATTATTTTTTCACACATTGCAACTGGGGAAAAGAGAAAAAGAGTAGTGAAACAAAACCACATATCCCAACAAGCTCTCAAGCTCTCACTCCTGTTTCAGTTGCACCCTAGCTAGTCCTCATTTTCTGATGTGATCAGTTCTATTACTCTTACAATGGTAACATTCTTACCGATACAATTACAAGGAAACCAGAACACCAACCCTGGGAAGCAAAGAACTGCAAGGAGTTCTGTGCATCCCAGAACAATGGGTTTAGAGTATCAAATACATCTTGTTAAGTCCATCCAGTCTATGGATACACTCTTCTTTTTTTCTACTATGAAGGCCACTCTTTCTTTAGGATATTTTCTTTTCCTATTGCCATTACCCTCACCCAAAGGATTTAACAAATAGCAGGGAATTTTTTTTCCTCTGCAACAGCTTTCACATAAAAAATGAGCAAAAGCATACTTTTTGAAAGGGCAAAGCAAAGGATACTTTCTCTTGCTGATAATCTCACTATGTGTTTCACTGGACACTAGGTATTATTTTCTTAGCTCAATTAATCTCATTAACCTCAAGAATTTTAATTAACTTTACTTAAGTCAATGCAACCTCCTCTTGTTTAGCAGGATCATTTGGAGACATAGAGTAAGAATTAAAACTAGGCTGTTAAGTCTCTAGCCTCATTAAAAGTGCAAAAAGTAATTAGCAATGTCCTTATGTGTGGGTATGTGTGTGTGTGTGTGTGTGTTAGTGAAAACATCTGTGCAATTCATTTTTCTCTATTGCAAAAATGAGTTAACACCATAGGTTATTCACTGTAATAATATTTTAGTCTTATGAAAATTATCAAACAAACACATATGTATTTGTGCATTATGCTTTAAACTATAACCTTTTGACCTTGTGGTTTTTCTGGTCACAAAATATCATTCAGTTAATATTTATATAAGCTGATGCACTCAGAAACTTTTATAAAAAAACTATCACTCAATGTAATGATAAGGCTAGGTAAGGAAGCAGAGGGCTATTTGAACATATAATCCAACCTTTCACGTCTAAATAGCCTTTAATAATGTATTTGGTAGTTGTCAGTCTCAATTCTAATTCTCCTTTGCTAAGAAAAATATAAAGTACATTCATATCAAGTGTGGATATTTCCTATTATGGTCCAGAAGTGAAAGGTTTTATGGGAGGGAGATCAGGCTTCGTGAATGCTAATTTTTCTCATCATTCTAAAGAATAATAGTTTGTTGCATTTCACATAGTGTTTATTCCTATATCTAAGCTATGTTTATTTTTATTTGTATATTCAAGCTAACAATTCCAGCATCTTTTTTAAGGAGTTGAAAAATGTACATTATGAAAATGAACATTATCAGGGCTTCAATTCTTCTTAAGATAAAAGTAGTTCTCTTGTTTGCATAATATCTTTATATATCTTTCGGGATTTTGCCATAACTCCAAGAATTAGATTATCACCTAAATGAAGTGATACGCAAACATTATTGTTCATGTTTGCCTATATCTCCCATTGACTATTGGTCCACATGGTGTTATGGATACCAGGTAAGTTAAAACACACAAGTGATATAATTTGATGTTCTAAAAATATCACAAGCAACTTAGAGTTATATGCTAAAGCAGAATTAACATTTATGAGTTAATAAGAGCACAAGGTCATTCATGTGATCTGTTTATTACTTTTCTGGCAGTCCCCTTTGCCAAACTTTATCACGATAGATAAAATATTTTTTCTTAAAGCAAAAGATAAACATCAGCTTCTCAAACTTCTGCAGCTCATATCCATCCCCTGTCAAATCTTCTTACTTTCATACACACAGGTCTAATTAATTCATGAATTCTAAAAATGTTTATGGACAATAATGACATGCCAGTCATGGTTCTAAAATCTGTAGTGGCAACAAGGAAGATCATCAGCCCCAGCTACATCCAACAACCTTTGGAAGCCACATTTAGGAGGGGAGAGAGAGGAAGTCTTTTTGATTGTGCTTCAAGTCAAATTTATCTTCCCTTCCATTTTCATAGCCATCTGTTCACTTGATGCTCCAACGCCAGCAGTATCTGGACAATCTGTCCTACTCTTGCCATTAGCAGTTTGTTTCCCTTAACTGAGCTTCTGTGACTTTCTTTACACACAGCTCAAGTAGTTTCCATGACACTGTGGATAAGGCCAAGAGCTTATCATCATGGTGCCCTGAGATGAAATTAATCAGGCTTAAGTTGCCCATGACAGCAACACAAACTGGATTGAATTAGGCAGAAGAGCAAACGCGGTTGCCCATGTTACCAGGAAAAGCAGGAGGGCACTGAAGTGAGAAGGGACCAGAACTTGATATTTGTTCTGCTTCAGTTTCTGTCTCTTTCTAGTTTTACTCTCTCTTCCGGCTTTTTCCACCAGGCGTGACCGTGGCATGGCAACTCTCCACTCACACACATAGAGCATCATGAACAGAAAGAAGAGACAGTTTCATTCTCTCAAGTTAAAAATTTTGGAAGAATAGTTCTAAGTTGCCTAGTTTGTGACACTCGACCAAGGCTTGAACCAACCCATCCTGGTAACCCACCCACTACTAGGGTCTTTCAGCGTGGCCGCTTGCAAACCTCTGCGGACCGGCCGGTCACCCAGTCCCTGTATATAACTAGGTCACTCACTGTCTCTTTTCCATGAGCATTCCTGCATGCACTTGAGGAGGAGTTATGTTTTCTCATTTGGTCTAGAGAAGAACCCCCCACAGCTGAGTTCTCCAGTCAATTACTCTTTTTTCCCTCCATCACTTACAGTTACTCCTGAGCCTTTTCTAATCCTAGCCCTCATGTCCAAATTCTTCTACAGTATTTTTTTTTTCAATTTGCATCTCTATGTGCAGAACAGAGCGCCCTTGAGATTGTAAATCTACTGCAGGGCATGAGTTAGTCTATTCAAAATGGCTGCATGGATCTATGGCTCACCTCAGACAAGGCCAATGGGATCTAAAGAAGAGTATAGCTCAGCCCCATATTTCGAAGTACATAACCTACCTTGTTGTGGACCTAGTTGTCATGTGACTGGAAAAGAGTCAGAAATACCGATATCAACTCTAGAAAAGTTGATTATTCAAACATATTTAAATTTCTGGGCATTATATTTACTGTTATCCTTCAATGAATGCATGCATTAGAACTTAGAAAAGTGTCTACCTTTGACAAGAGTCCAACAAAACAAAACAAAAACCTCTTACTCTAATACAAACTGGGACATATTCAGTGCTCAAAAATGCATCTGACTAAAAGCACTCAACTATGCAATCATCCTATGTACTTTCAATAAACTATTGATCATACCTTTTTGTCATCACTTGCCCCATGTGACTCTTGACACAGAAGACTCTCCGTGTCTGAATGCCCACACCGCATGTAGCTTCTCCATTCCAGCCAATGGTTGCATTAAGGGCAGTTACTAATGTGTCTTCAGAACAGGGGCCCCAAGGTGATGTCTCCCAGTAGAGCTGCATGCATGAATGGTCATTGCATGTGCGATACTCTTGGAGGGCCTGACTAGGAGGGCATGGTTTTCCACCTGCAAATATCAAAATAAAGAAGAATACATAGTTGTTGCTTTTATTAGTATATTGCTGCTGTTATTCCTGTCATTATTGTTGTTTTTCATGTTTTAATGTTCTAGAAAGATGGCCTTTTGATATAATCTTCCTAAGACCTGAGCCACTGTACAACGTTTCTGACTCTATGGTCATGGTTCTTCTGTCATGAGTAACAACCTGAGGACAATATACTGCACCTTTCTCTCCTCCACAACAGGCAACAGTATGCAAATTGCATGTAAAAAAAAAAATCAATTCACCTGGACATACCTCTTTTCCAGCAACAAAATGCAAAGAAACTGTATGGGACTAAAGATAACACTGTGCGTTCACACTTGGGACAAATTCAGAACACAAGGTACAAAGAGATTAAAAAATCCAACTGTCACTTTTGAAGAGCCTGGAGCAAAAGCAGGTTACTGTACATGCCTCCTACACACAACATTAACGGGTAGGCAAAGCAAAGAAACTACCCCTCCAGCCATGACCTGGACCCACCCTTACCCTCACCCCCACACACGTGAGCAAGTTAGGGAATCTGTTTGTTCCCACTACCCCCCTTGGTGGAGCAGAGGCCCTGAAAAAGCCTCACTTGAAAAAGATCAATTGATTCTACTGCTCACCTCTGTGTCATGTATCTCTGAGATAAATCCCAAAGATACCTGCTTTTATTTTAATATTATTATGCCAACATAAATTAGCCAGTTAGATATAATAAACCATGACCTTGAAGTGATATTATTCAAACACAAATACTTACACATGTTACCTGCATATGGGCTCTCTTTCCTAAGACAGCATGATTTTTCTCAGAGAGCCACCTTAAGACATCCATTCTCCCTCAAGCAGTGCATTTTACTGCAATTTGAGAAAACCAGAAATCTCTCTTCGCGTTTGGCAGGAGAGAGCTCACCCTTAACTCTGAAATAATATCTGACAATGTGTTATCCACTGGCAGGGAGACCAGACGATTGTGCGTTCCTACATTCCTGGGTGAGTCAGACAATCACATTTCATTACTATCTTTTCTTTCACAATTTTATATCTATGTAAAAACTGGTATTTATCTAAAGCATTGATTTTTTTCCCCCTTACTCTGTCACAGCATAATGTTTTATTCAGTGGTCCAAATGCTTGAGAAGATTTGTGACCTTGGTTTTGTTATTCTTGTTATTTTCCCCCCATTAAATACTATTGACTTTTTTTCCTTCCAGAAAAATAACAGACAAGAGGAGGAAGCCACTGCACTTTGAGAACTTGAAAATCTTCATTCCTCTTGAACCTGGCCCCATTTCTTACGATCACAGAACAGAATCTTATCTTAAAAGGAGTTCCTCAAATCAAGAGGCCATATTGCTCTGTTGTCCTCGCTGAGCTGTTGGCAGGCAGAGCCAAGGGAGGCCCTAAAAGAACTGAAATGACATGTGTGTCTGGGGATGGAGACCATTGTTCTAAGTGATAGAAACAGCTGCTCCTCTGATTTGTCCTCAAGTCACCCGTTTGCGTTCCCATAGCACATTTTAGCTTCTTCGGTGTCATTTTCACAGCCTTCATCTTTGTCCCTCTTACAATGTGCCAGCCTGACAGAGCAGGAAATGAGGACATACAGATCAGGTAGTTTGCCAGCGTTAGTGGTGGCTCCAGGTTAAGAAGCCACATCTTTTGATTCCTAATTTTGAACTCATTTTACCAGGCATATTCCAATTATGTTCCCAACTGCATGAGCTATGAGAAGGTGGGTGTTTACCAATGAAGCCCTGTCTTCTTCCCTAAAAACGTATAACAACTAACACCCATCGGCCTGCCATGAGCTGTATGTGCGTCAATACTGTGATACATGCGTGCATGCTCAGTCACTCAGTGGTGTCCGACTCTTTGAGACCCCCAGACTGTAGCCCACCAGAATCCTCTTTCCATGGAATTTTCCAGGCAAGAATACCGGAATGGGTTGCCATTTCCAACTCCAGGGGATCTTCCAGACCCAGGAATCAAACCCACGTCTCTTGAGTTTTCTGCATTGGCAGGTGGACTCTTTACTAAAACGAATCATGTCAATTATGGAAACCCAACAGAGATTAACTAGGGGATTAGAGAGAAATGCTTGGAAAGCAAATTGTTTACCTAGATTTAGGGACTAGAAACCTTTCCTATTACTCACCTTCTCCAGCCAATGCCAGGATAGTCCTTGACCTGGTCTGTTTCCCATCTGAGTTTTTATTTGAACAAGACTGAGAGCAGGATGACCACTCTGTCCACTCGCTCACCACACAATCCATCCGGCAGGGAATTTCGCAGGCCATCTGTTCAGGAGGTGGAGATGCTGGGCAGAGACTCCCTGATACATCTTCTCCTGTAATCAACCAGATCAAGACAGATGCAGATGAATGTAAAACCGAGGCCAGTCCAGGAACATTTAGATTCATCTCTTCCTCTATTACTTCAGCTTAGCTTAGAAGACTTCACCTGGTGTCTACACTAATAATGTTTTTTGTTGTTGTTGTTTAGCTGTTCACAATATTTATGTCAAGAAAAACTTTTAGGACATAATTTGGCATTTAGAAAGGTAGATACAATAGGAAAACTGCCTTTTGTCATCCTTCCCAGGGACAAGTGGGCTTCTTCCAGGAACAATTTAGCCTAGATGGCTGGGGACAAGACTGACATGCTACTGACAACCACATGTAACAAGTACATGCATTTCTGCAAAATTGGAGTTAGAAGTATCTGCTGACCTGAAAAACCACAATTTGTGCTGAGCCATCTATTGTACCCCCCCCCAAGTTATCAATCTAATTTTCTGTTGGGTGTTTTCATCTCCAAATGCATGTGTGAGTGCTTAGCCACTCAGTTATCTCCAACTATTTGCAACCCCATGGATTGTAGGCCACCAGGATCCTCTGTCTATGGAATTTTCCAGACAAGAATACTGGAATGAGTTGTTATTTCCTAATCCAAGGGATCTTCCCAACATAGGGATCAAACCCATGTCTTTTGAAGCTCTTGCACTGGCAGGCAGATTCTTTACCACTGTCCCACCTGGGAAGCCCTATCTCTAACTATGCAATCTTAATGAAGACTATTGCACAATGATTCATTTATTCTATTTGTACACAGTGGTAAATAATTCAAAACCACAGTGGAAATGAACCTGTGGCTAAAATTATACACTATGCTGAAACAAATGGTGAAAGCAAGCCCCAAATTTTCCCAAATCTATTCCCCCTTTGATGAATTACTCAAACCAAAACACACACATACACACGAAAATGGGGAATGGAATTCTACAGTTAACAGACACAGCCGAGGGGATCATTTCTAAGTTGCTATTCTATATCACAAATGATCATAATGAATTTTTTTTCTAAACTCTCTTTTAGGTTATTTATCCACTATTTTTAGAATTCAAATATTTCTTTTCATAGATAACAATTCCACTCTTACTATCCCCTCATTCACAGTCACCTCATAAATACAGAAGACATGAACAATAATAAAAACTTTCATGGTTTGAAGCAATAACATGAAATGTGGAATGGCAGCTCTAGGAGACAGGCAATTTCCTCTTTGTGACTTTATGTCCGTGGAATTCTCCTGTCATAATCTGACACAAAAAATAACTGTGAAAAGGGACTAATATTTATGCAGCATCTCCCTTGTGCAGGCACTGTCCTCGTAAGATGCTCCTGGAGACAGGTGTGACCCATCCTGTTTTGTAGATGAGGAGTCGGTGGCTCTGGAAGGAAAACTTGCTCAGGGTCGCAAAACTTGCTGACAGGCCTGAGTAGGAAGCAAATGAAAACTTTTTCTGACTCCAAAAATTCTGGTTTCTCCATTAACCATATTGTGTCTAACTCCAAGAGATTGATAGTTCTTTTTTTTTTTTCCATTTATTTTTATTAGTTGGAGGCTAATTACTTTACATCATTGCAGTGGTTTTTGTCATACATTGAAATGAATTAGCCATGGATTTACATGTATTCCCCATCCCGGTGCCCCCTCCCACCTCCCTCTCCACCCGATCCCTCTGGGTCTTCCCAGTGCACCAGGCCCGAGCACTTGTCTCATGCACCCATGAGATGGATGAAACTGGAGCCCATTATACAGCGCGAAGTAAGCCAGAAAGATAAAGACCATTACAGTATACTAACACATATATATGGAATTTAGAAAGATGGTAACGATAACCCTATATGCAAAACAGAAAAAGAGACTCAGATGTATAGAACAGACTTGTGGACTCTGGGAGAAGGCGAGGGTGGGATGTTTCAAGAGAACAGCATCGAAACATGGATAGTTCTTTTTAAAGAAGTACCGGGTTGGCCGAAAAGTTCATTCAGTTTTTTACACCCAATCTTACAGAAAAACCTGAACAAACTTTTTGACCAATCAAATAAATAAAACAAGCTGTCAGTGAGCAAGACTCCCTGGAGGAGAATCTAGTGCCCTCCTAAGATTTGCATTCATATTTGTAAATGAGGCCAGGCTCACTGCCCTTGAGGTACAAATAAAACTTTTCAAGCATATTATAGGAAGTAATATAGATTCTAGCAGATGATCACGCTGAACGACCAGTTCCAATCACTCTCTCTTCAGTCTCAATCTATTTTCTTGTTGAATTGACACTGTATAGTATATGCAAACACAGACTCACACACACACACACACACATCCCAATACAACTTAGAGGGAGGGCTTCCCCAAGTACAGAAGTAGGCAGATCAAACAAAACATACAAACAACATCTAATCAAAATTCAATTTCCACATTCGTGAATATTATGAATAACTTCTACACAAAAATATTTCAAAGCAGTGTCTTGCAAAGAATATTTTGAGGAATAAGATACTTGAAGGTTCTTATTTTAAAAGGGGGGGTGGAGCTGAGAAGCACAGGATTAAAATAGTAAAACTGGTCTCATTACTGGAGAGTAGTGAGTGTTAAAAATGCCAGTTATCACATAAGCTCCCTTTGATGCAAATAGCATGTAGTATTTTTCAGTCTTATTTGACTTATGGCTTTCCTTTTGGGGGAGCCTCTCTCCCAGAAATGTTATTTTTATCAATATGCTTTGAGAAAAATCCTGCCTTTAAGAGTTATAAAATTATCAACTACTATTTGATGGGCATATATTACATCCAAGGAAAAATGGGATAAATATAAATGAAGATACTGTGATTTATCCCCCCAGAGCAAATGAGTAATAACAGAGATGAGCTATAAATACAAAAAGATAAAACCTAGTCCAAAAGTAAATGTCAAGTACTATGTGTTTTAAATAAAGAATCCTGTAGTGATTTAGGGAAGAGAAAGCTCTCTGGGGACCTAATCTGAGAGCAGAAGGCTCTCAATAAGGAGAAAGAGAAAGATTAGGAGCTGGTGGCAACCAGGGAGGGCATGTCAGTCAATATAAGTGTCAACAAAGGCATAGTGATAAGAAAACACAAGCTATGTGGAAGGCAGTTAAACCTGAAGCTCCATGGGGAAAAGAGAAAGCATATGTTGGAAGAGTTGTTTTACATCAAATTCTGGATAACTTAGACTGAAATACCAGTTCTATTTCCACCTTCATTCAATTCCCAAACGCCCAGGTTTCCCATGACCCAAATTTAACATCCTCCAGGTCATCCATCACCTAGTACCTTTAGTATTCACTTCCAGTACTGGGATGCTTTTTAAAACCTAAGCTTTCTTATAAACTGATACGTCCATTTACACAGGGCAGTGAAATGTCAATACTCCCATCAACACTTTGACAGCTTGTCTATATGGCCTAATGCAGAAATGTGAGCAATCAGATAAGTTGTTCTTTAGTGAAGCCAAGCTAATAGTAATAAGTAGGCTCTTCAATTCATGTGTGAGCTATTTTATAAGAAACTCTGCCAAAGAAAAGATCACAATGGGATCTTAGTTATGGGTAACCTAGTCAGAGTTAAGTATCTGCAGGTGGAGCTTAGGACCACTTATCCTCTGGGGCATATCACTTAACTTCTTTGAACCTCTGTTATCTCATCTGCAATAATGAAATAATAACACCTACCTTTAAGGGATGGTCTAAGGATTAGAAATCACTTATGCACAATACACGGCAGTGTTTCCAACAACAGAGGGAGGACACAATATAGAGGAATGTGAAATAGATCACCAGTCCAAGTTTGATGCATGAAACAGGGCACTCAAAGCCAGCACACTGGGACAACCCTGAGGGATGGGATGAGGAGGGAGGTGAAAGGGGAGTTCAGGATGGGGACACATGTCCACCCATGGCTGATTCATGTCAATGTATGGCAAAAGCCACTACAATACTGTAAAGTAATTAGCCTCCAATTAAAATAAATTATTATTTTTTTAAACGTCTGCGAAGATGTACACCACCAAATGGAGAAGGGAATAGCAACCCATTCCAGTGTTCTTGCCTGGAGAATCCCATGGACAGAGGAGCCTGGTGGGCTACAGTCCATAGGGTCACAAAGAGTCGGACACAACTGAGCAGCTAACACTACACTACATCACCAAAACCTTATGGCATTCTTGATCTAAAAATCTAAAGATTGATGCCATAACCATGAAAAGCACTTGCTCTAAAATGCATATATATGTACAAATTACCAGCAACATATATATGTACAAATTACCAGCAACATTTGCTGTAATTTGACTAGTTCACATAACATAAAGAATGCTTATAATTATCCAGATAGCTTTGCTTATATGTGACTCATCTAAACCATTTAAAAGCCAAAAATAAAGCACTTGAGCCTGAACAAGCTCACTGGCCCATCTACACTGGTATAATTGTCTTCCTATTGCAGAGAGAACTCATTTCAAAAGAGGAGCATTTATACTTTCCTGTTTTCATTTTCATGGATGGATCAATGAGACCAACTGAAATCTCAGGCAAGCGTGGAAAATAAAGCAGCATATGGGACAGAAACTTAGTCATTAAAAGTGATTTTCACAAGCTCTTATAATCTAATGTCACAATAAAACTGAATATATTTAAGGGAAAAACTGAATTCATCTTTCAAGAAGACTCTAAAATTGCTCCCTGTCCTCATCAGGCTCCCTGAGATCAATAATGACAAACTAGATCCTCTCCTCAAGGAGTAGACTTCTTTAAATTAGTTGTGATTCTGAAAATAAGGGATAGGGTGCTGCTCCAACCTTGTCACTTAAAAAAAATAATTTAATATGGTGACATCCCATTATATAAAATTAACCATTTTAGAGTAAATATTTCAGCAACATTTAGTAAATCACAATTTTTTTGCAGTGCATCATCTCTATTCTTTGCGATTCTGGAGACCTTGGCTTAGATGACTGGGTGACTCAGTCTTGCCCATGGGTCATAGT